CCTTCATTTGGCATCGGAGACTCTCCACAATCTGGTTTCTGCCAGTCTCTCTAGCCTTATCGTTGTTCCTCCTTTACCTTAGCCTTTCATACCATGTAATTATTGGTCTCATCATGCTCTTCTCTTATATTTCCTTAACTTTGGACATTCAGGTCCCTTTGCCCAGAATGGTGTTAGGACATCCCTGAACAAATGCTTTTCTAGTGGATTGAGATCTGATGGTTGAGAAACTTGAAAATTCTTATACAGATCTTGTGATATAAATCTGTTCCTTGAATTATAAATACTCTGACATCTAAACTGAACCTAAAATTGCCCACCCAACAAAGTACACAAAATAGTGTTCTTTCCAAAGTAGAAATGGAATAAATGCTCATTTAGTGCCTTAGGGAAGTGTATCCTACAATGTTTTTAGACCTCTAAAATCTTTTAGATGTAAAGAATAAAGTAGTAAATAGAGATCTAAAACAAACTGATCAGAGGCAAAGAATTTTAAATGGAAAGGGGGCAAAGAGAATGATGTAGTTATTTCTACTTAGTTTTTTTTTTCTCCTAACAAGTACCCCCCTACTACAATATAGAGGCCAGAACCATACCTCACACTATAGCACATTTTCTGGCTCTGACCCAAGGATTGGCTTTGAAGCCCTTTTTTTTCACTCTAAGGAATAAAGTAAATAGCATGGCCACAAAAATGGAAATATTTGTTCAGGTGACTTTCCACCCCAACCCTTCTTTCTTCCTTCTATACAAATCTAATTCAAAATTACAAACATATTAAATATAATAATATTACACATGAGGTTTTTTTCCTTTTCAATTCCCAAGTGAGCAATACACTTTTTTAAAAAGTTGAAAACAATGTAGCAATGTGGGAAATGTTTAAAATATGAAATTAAGTGAAAAAGACAAAATGTACACTATAATTATAAAAATGCACACATGACCAAGGACTGCCACAGAACAGCAAAATTAACTGTTGATTTGTTTGAGTTTCTCAACCTTGGCACTGTTGACACTTGGGGCTAGGTAATTGTTTTTTGTGCACAGAAAGACATAGCAGCTGCCTTGGCCTTACCAAGTAGATGCCAAGAGCACATCTCCAGTTGTGACAACTGAAAATGCTTCCATACATTATCAAACATCTCTTGGTAACAAAATCATCAACCTTGCCCCCAATCTGGCTATAAGCGTGCTAGGATAAGAGAAGTATTTTTTACATTCATATTATCCTTGTCAATGATGTCTGCTCAATAAATACTTATTGGAAAGGTGTCTATAAAACAACACCTACTATCCTCTTTTTCCCCCAAGAGTTAGAATTTATTTAGTTCCATTTCATGTGAAAAACTGGAAAAGCTACATAACTTGTTTTTCTTTTGTAACCTATTATAGAAGAGAAAGCTGAGTTTTTCAGTAGTTGGAAGTCTAACCAGATTCTAAGCACAAGACATCACACATATGGCTTCCATTGTCCTGAGAAACCAAAATATCCAAAATCATTATAGCTCCCCAGATACCTGTGTACTTTATATAACCTCAAAATAGGTTTACATTTAAACCTAAATACTGAAGAAGAAATAGTAAGAGTCAACAAGGAACAAGACAAATTAAATAACACATCCTAGTAAAATAAAATTTTACTGGATCTTAATCTTATTCTATACTTTAGGCCTTCTGTAACAGTCTTTTTTTAAGACTACTGAGACTACCCCTTGCCAAAATCTTTATTGGTTCACATCAGGAAGAATGTTTCTTTTTAATTCAGAAACTGAGTAGGCACAAGAATCATTTCAAGCGTTTCCTCTCTAGCAAATTCTATCATCCACAGGTATTGGGTTTATACGGGTTAAAGTTGAAATACTGTTGTGTGATTTTTTTTTTTTTCAGTACTGGGGCTTGAACTCAGGGCCTACACCTTGAGTCACTCTGCCAACCCTTTTTTGTGATGGGTTTTTTTGAAATAGGGTCTTGCGAACTATTTGCCCGGGTTGGTTTTGAGCCGCGATCCTCCTGATTGCTACCTCCTGAGTAGCTAGGATCACAGGCGCTCAGCTTTGTGATCATTTTTGAATGCCATTTTCACAAGTATGAATACATCACCAAAATTTATGCCTATCATAATACTTAACTAAACAAGGAACAACCTTCTTTCTTTATAAATAAGCCTGGCATGAGCCCAACACTGCCATTTAAAATTTTTTCCTCCGCTTTCAAAACACTAGGTTTGCGTTAATTTAATGTATGTAATCACCAGTGTTTGCGTCTCCATTCTAGTCTCTAGTTTTCCCCAAGACAGAAAGATTGCTCAGTACAGAGAAACAGAAAATCTTCGTCCTGACTGCAGGGCTGGAGAGTGTGAAATACGCAAAGCCCTGCCGCAGGAAGGTAGAGGGCGGATGAGCCCTCACGGCGAGGGGAGGGAAGGGGGAAGGGACCGTGGGATGCGCAGGACCAGATGATGAGAGGAGGGGGAGAGGCAGTAGCTTGAAAGGCGATAACTGACTTGGTGACCTCTGAGATTGAGGGTTCCCAAGGCTGCAGAGCGTCATCGGGGTTCGAGGTCCTGCATGACGAACATCCACAGTTCTTGGTTCGCAGATCTACAAGCCAGGGAAAGCCATGCCTCGGTGACCCTTATGGTGGCCTGGACCTGCGGCTGCAGCCATCAGTTTGTCGCTGAAGTGAGTTAAGGACGCCTGACCTAACTCACGGAGCGTGTTCTAAGTCGGTTCTAGACAGCGCGGCGGCTCAGTACTTGTCACCTGCGGCAACTGAGTTCCGAGAAAAAGGCGAATCCTTCTTCAGGCCGAATCGCTCCAGCCCGGGTCTAGAAAGGCCCAGCCAGAAGGGCTCTCCTGTAGTTTCGGACCATACTTGGGAGAGAAGCGGGAAGGACTTGGACTGTGGAAAAAGCAGGGAAGAACGGATGCTTTCCTCCTAGGCGCTGAGGCTGGGGAATCTCGGGAAGCGCGGGAAATTTTCTTTTGGAGGGTGCCGCGAGGGTCTAGTGTCTCTCGGCTCCTTGTGCTCAGCTGCCTGCTGCAGACACCCACCGAGACCCGGCGTCATAGCAACCGTGCTTGCCACAGGGACGCAGAGCGTGTTTCCGGCGGGAACCATACATACGACGCACGCCATTGGCGCCTGGGAGTGTTCTTCCTTTGAGGGCTATTGTTACGGCGCGCACCATTGGCCTTCGGGTAGTGGGGCGGAGTTCTTCCGCCGGGATCCTTAGTACGGCTCGTTCCATTGGCTCTGGAGGCGGCAGTAACCATAGTAACATTATGGCAAGGGTATGCAACATATAGGATACATGTATGTCACAACATATAGGATACACTTTGTTCTACTTCTCTAAGAGGTCTTATCAAGAGCCCTGGCTTACTTACCTTAGATTTATTTTTCTGTAATTTTTTTTTGTTTGCGGAAATGGGGAACTGAATTTGGGCCTCGCGCTTCTAGGTAGGTGCTCTACCACTAGAGCCACACCCCCCAGCCCATAAGAAGTCACTTCATTCTTAAAAACACAGGGTGATAGGTCAGGAGTTCTGTATTTGGGGGTCTACATATGGGGCGCCTAAGGTAAGTCACAACCCTTTTGGACCCAGCTTATTAGTGTAAAAAAGAAGAAACCGGGTTTGACCCAACTACCACTAAGACTGAAACCCTTAAGACCTAAGCACTGAAAATTCGTTTTGGGTGAGCAATATTTCTTACCTATGAAATGCAAAATAAAGAAGTTTTAACTAAACCAAAATTTAACAAAGCCCAAATGCGCTTTTTGCAAGATTCCAGGTGCTTATCAAAGCTCAGTTTTACTCGTGGTGGGGCCTTAGCTTTGCTGGTACCCCAAACACTGCATTTCTTGGTTTTATTGGAGTTGCAAATCTTTTGAAGCTTTGCTGTTTCTACTCATCGTCTGGATGGATTTTATCCCTTACTTTGTAAAAGTACTTCAACCTCTGACAACTTAGCCATTGTAAGTGTTTTTTCCTCTCACTCTAAAATGCTCACCACTACCACCTGCAGTCCTCGTAACTCCTATTTATGAGTTCAGCATCACCTTCTCAGGGAAACTTTCCTTGGTCCTCCAATCTAGATCAAGTTTCTTATTTGCTTTCAATGACTCATGTTCCTTTTTTTCTTTAAATACTTCAACTTGCTGTCAACACACAGGCACACAAACTGGAATTTTTACTTGTATAAATACCATTTTAAGTTCTCCAAGTAGATACTAAACTGAAGTGGAAAACACTTTAAATAACTCCATGTAGAATAATGGTTGAGCATTCACAAAACAAGATATGAAGTGGTTCCCAAGAGAATAATATGGTGAAAAAAAAAATCACTTGCAGTTTTAACTCCACTTCTCCCCGCTGTACAAAGATGTCACCATCCATGGATGTAGGGAGGAAAACCAATCTTTTACTTCTTGTTCCTTCAGTATTACAGCTGAGTCTGTTGCTTTTGAGGCTTTACCAACTGAACCCAAAGTTCATTTAAAATGTTTGTTCAAAGGGACTGCTGCTTTGAGAACAGTCTTGGCTGCTGCAGTTACTTTTCCTCTGCTCAAGGTCACACTTCTTGATTTGATGAAGTATTTATCTTGGCATGTCTGTTCCAGTCTTCTCAATTAAAATTTATTGTACCTCTACTGTCATTAGGACCCACTGGGTTACCCTTTCCAAGGATGAAATATCACAAATTATGCTTTAAATTTTTTGCAGTTGCAGGGGATCAAGTCCAGGGCCTTGCACATGCCAGGTAAGTGCTGTGTTTCTGAGCTGCATCCTCAGCCCCTAAATCAAGTATTTATGTGAAATACTGCCAACTTTTTTTTTTCTTTTTCCCAGTACTGGGGCTTGCACTCAGGGCCTACACCTTGAGCCACTCCACCAGTCCTTTTTTTGTGGGTTTTTTTTTTTTTTTGTAAGAATCTATTTGCCCAGACTGGCTTAGAACCACGATCCTCCTGATCTCTGCCTCCTAAGTAGGATTACAGGAGTGAGTCACTGGCGCCCAGCAAGACTACCTACTTCTATGTAGTTAATAATATTTTTTTCAAGTTGTATTCTGCACCATCATCAGATCATTTAGGGGACTTTTCTGCACTACACTTCTTACACACTCCTAACCCAAAATGTAGGACAGTGCAAAGAACTTAGAGTTTCTGAGATTCAAGAATCAAGGAAGGCCCTGGCGTAACACTGCCATGGTAAATGAGAAACTGCAACCATTTATTGAGCGTAAGTACTAGGCAGCAGACTGATGCTTCATTTTCACTTTTATTTAGTGTTACTTTGCTGGTTATATATAAAGAAACTGAGATTAAGTTATGTGTCTAAGTTTACAAAGCTGGTAAGTAGCACACCTGATTGACTCCAGACCCCATATATATTACCACACTGAAGTGTCTCCCTCCAGACAGAGCTACCAACTGGCCTCTGCCTGGTTCTAGGTGGAAGGCTGTGGTAAATTTACCTCAAGAGCAGTTCTAAAATATTTGAAAGATAAATTGTTACTCAAATATGGAGGAAATCTAGGAAAGAAGCAAAAAAGTAAACATAGTGGGAAGCTTTCCAATCTACAGGCAATATATCTTCAGGGAGATCTCTTTCTCTTCTCCCTTTTGGTAAACTTAAACAAACAAAAACCATCCTTTTCATGTATTGGTTTTGTGGGCACTTTATTGCACTTAATTTTTTACACATCCATTTCCTGAACATGACATGTTCATTCATCTTTTTAATCTTCATAGCTCAACATGGGCCTGGCACATAGCAGGCACTCAACAAATACTTGATCTTCAAAGCATGACTACTCATGCATCCATAATCCTCTTTCTACAGTATAAATTAGGCTGATATTCAGCTCCCCATGTATAATTTGTGGAATATATAATCCCAAAAGGCTTTTTTTTTTAAGTTGACATATAGTCAAGTGTTCAATTTCCAAATCAAGATGACATTCATGTGTGTCAGGTGGTCTAGTCATTAAAGACAAATACCAACCTATTATTTGCCTGCACACACTTTTACCGTTCCCTTTATTTTCCTTGTTCTTATGAAAGCAAAGGATAGTCTAAGTTTTGCCATCTGTAAGAGCCCTGGTCCACTGGACAATTTTTGATCCTATAAGAGCTTTTTAGTTCAGTTCCTGTCACATATAAAAGTTGTGTGTCGACACTGCAGATGGTCCACTATCTTCTCTTCTATTGCTATGCCTTTTGCTACTTCTTCCTCTGTTAGCAATAACTTAGTTTCTGAGTCTTTGGTTACAATAACCACAAAGGACTGTAGTGACTCAAGGATATTAGCCACCACCACTTGATGTCGATAAACTTCCAAAGCGTTCCGAGCACGATTAATTATGATGGAGGGATCAGTCTCCAACTTAAAAGAAATTATAAATGCTTTGGGAGCCCAATCTTTAACCAAAGGAGAAAGCATTTTTGGCACCATCTTCATTGTTATCTGTATTGGAAAAAGAAAAGTTTAATAAGCAAACAATGGTCATTACTTACCAGGAAACTAAGGAATCAGGAATCTTATTTTGCCTATATATAAATTTAAGTGGGATTTCCATTGTTAAAATTTTCGAATTATATTACATGATTAGTTTAAAGGCCTTGATTCTATGATGTTCATAACAATGCCTAAATTTGAGGCTTCACACATTTTCTAGGGCAAACCATAGTTTTCTGAATCAGCCTGCTCTGCCATAGTCATTACATTTTCTCAAACATTCCCTTTATTTTTTTAAGCAAACCCACAAATACACGAATACAAATAATCTGCTCATTCAAATATTACTTTGGCAGAAACCCAGTAATATTGGGTTTTTAAACCTCTTGGTCTAAAAAATCTTACATAGTTAAAATGGCTACTGGATTCTATTTACAATTCCATTCACTTGTAACTAGAATTGTAAATGGAACTCTGCACAACTTAGCACTGAGGGAACTGATTTTATTTTCATTTGATCAAAACTCCTACCATCTGTTTCCTAATACCTTCAAAGGAGAACGTTGAGTCGTTTCACGTTCTGTCAAGATAGAACTAAAAAATATGGGATAAACTAAAGATCCCAGTTTTTTAAGTGTGAAATCACTAAGCTAATCATCAGGATTTCCCCCTAAAAAATTCGTTGGCAACTGTGACAGGAGTCCTATACCAGTTCCCCACTTTGTTTTTCCCCTTAGCATTTTTCACTGCTGAAGGTAGTATGCATTTGACCACTCCCTGCAGAGAACAAGCAATACAAGTGCTAGGGTATATTTCTTTTCACTGCTTTTATCTCCAGGTCAGAAAATAGTGTAGGGCCTAAAGAAGGTACTCAATAAATACTTGTTGAAGAAATGAACAAACGAACCACCTGACAAGTGCCCCAGGTAGTTTCCCCTATGTAAATTCTACTGATATTGCCCAGCAAAAGACTTAAGAACTTCTTTAGGAGCTAGGACAGCAGGTCGTCTTGACATCTCAACCTCAACGCTGACTTTTCCATACCTCTTCCTAAACAATAACCCCCAACTACTCTATCCTGTCGTCTCTCTCCCAACTTCACCTTTCAAAACAATATTCTTTTCAAACAAGAACTTTATCCTCTTCTCCTTCTTATGTGTCCCTTGCCTCCCCAAGATAAAGTTCAAGCTCCTTAAAAAGAATAGTCTTCTATGAAGCAAGCTGCTTCTTCAGTCAGCTCTCCACCCTTACCAGTGCACTTTGGTTCACAGAACATAGCACATCTCCAAACGCCAACTGTGTAATTAAAATGACCTTCCCCACTTTAATTCCCTCTGCGCATGTTTTAAAAACCCAGTTCAAGTCATCTACTCCAGGAAGCCTGTTTTGACTCCCCAGTTCACTACCCCACGGTCTGACTGCACTTTGTACATACCTCCACTAGAGCATTTATCACTCTGTATTGTAATTATGTCTGTGTCCAGCTCCCTCACTAGATTGTGAGGTCCTTGAGGGAGGGCGGTGTCTTATTCATCTCTGTATCCCCAAGTGCCTAGCGCATACAGAATGCAGAAAGGCCTTCTCCAGATCAAGAGGAAATTAACCCAAGATTGGTTATAGGGGATCAGATCTCTGGAAGAGAAGCGCCCATCACCTGCAGTGGGCCCCCAGATGACTGGATCTTGTGTTCAGGCATTTCAGAGACAGGAACATAGAAATCTGACACGGCCGCAGCCAGGTAAAACATCGCAGAAGAGCCTGGAAAGAGAAGCAAAAACGAATCGGAGAGGGGTTTAGCGGGATCAGCTACTTCTCAACTGGGGTTCCCTGGCTGTAAGACTCATGGGTACGTGGAAGGGGGAAGTGGCAGGGCAGAGAGAAATGCTCTGCCTCCAGGAAACCGATGGGCTCCTAGGGCACGCACCTAGTGGATTGAGCGCCTGGGCCGCAGCCTGCAACAGATGCAGATAGTCCGCCAAAGTGGTGAACTCTACGGCCAGGAAGGTGCCGGCAGCCGCTGCCTCCTGGTAGCTCCGCAAAGCCGCAGCGAAGCCCGGGAGTGCCTTCTCCTCGGCCTCCAGGCTCAGCAAGCCAGACTGGGCTGGGCCAGAGGGGCGCAGGGCAGACAGCCAGGTCTGGGGCGGGAAGCGGTGGGCAAAGGGAAAGGCAGAGCGAGCGCGGTACAAGAACAGAACACCATATCCCGCAGCCAGGAAGGCCTCGGCCGAGGTGGCCCCGCGCCGCCCGCTGCTGAAGTTGTCCAGAAAGCGCACTGGCCGCGCTTCCAGAGGGACCTTGGTGCCGCCTGACGTGACCAACACCACCCGCCGGCCCTGCGAGCCCAGCCTGGCAGCGAAACGAGCCATAACCTCGGCCCAGCGCGCAGCACCCGCGGGCCGGGGGAACTCCGCGACCAAGTCCATTTCCGCCATAAGTGCCGGAGCGCACTGCGCACGCGCACGCCCAGGCTGCCGACGCCACGCCCTCCCCTACTCGGGCCCGCGCGCAGCCGCAGTAGCGACTGGGCCGTTCCGGGCTCTAAATCCTCTACTAGGGTTACATCTTGCCAAATCTGGAAATCCCTGGTTGTTCTGCCCCAGAACCCAGCGTGAGTGATACTGCGGTGAGGGGACGTCTCCGTCGAGTGACCATTCCTTCCCGTTAATTACCTAGCGTGGGTAACGCACTGGCTACGTTTGACCCTTACCGGCTACAATATAGGTTTGGATACTATTGAAGCTAAATTCTTTGGCCATTTAACCTTTGGGACGAATGAATTTGCGCTTTTTTTTTTTTTTTTTTCACCACCCTCTCAAAAATACACTGATGTCAGTCAGGCCACGCCCCTCCCCCTTGCCCTTGAAATGCCGGGAACAAGGCGGTCCCGCGGTTGTCACGTGACGCGGGCGTCCGGCGCGACCTGGCTGGGCAACCGTCCTAGAGACTGACGCTGCTCGCAGGCTCCGACATGGACGTAATCTACCCTCTGGCGGTGCCCAAGAGGCGCCGGCTCTGCTGCGAGGTGTGCGAAGCCCCGGCCGAGCGGGTGTGCACGGCCTGCACTGTCACCTATTACTGGTAGGCCCTGGAACGTGGCTCCGGCGCCCGGCTCTCTCCCTGCCTCCCAGCCGCGGGTCCGGGCTCCCTGGGTCCTGCCAGGGACCCCCTCAGGGCGACCTCAAGACCCGGCTCTGAGACACCTGTGGCCCCGCTTGCTTCCGTTCCCACATAACTGATTCGCCACCAGATGTGTCGAGTCCTACGATGTTTTATGCGCTGTTCTAGGGTCTGAAGATAATGGGCCGGTTCTGTAGATCAGGTCCCTCAAAGAGCTAACATTTTAACGTGGTGACGCGGGAGACAGATCAGTAAACACACCGAAAAGATAATTTCAGAGAGAAATGATGTAAGAGTAAAGGTAGTGTGATAAGAAATTGGGCAGATAGTTTCTCTGAGAGTAGCCTTTAGATCTAAAGGTAAAGTAAGAGCAACCCACCTGGAAATGGGCAAGGGAAGAGTGGCACAGGTAGACTCTGAGACAGCGGCTCTCCTGTCTCAGGAAGAGAGGGCCAGTTGGTGTAGCAGCTAAGATGTTGAGGGTGTAGGGAGGGCAGTTCAAGATGAGGTCATTCCTTTATGTATTCAGTGTAACATCCTCTGGCCTTTGCTTCAGATTAGACCGTATTTTGGACCTGACATAAAACAACTACATTGCTGACTTCGAGAAACCTAGTTCAAAGCACACTTTAAAAAAAAAAAGTCATAACAGTTCCTCATAACAAATGCTGTCACTCAGTGTGCTAAGCTCTGGGACCTTTAGAATGGTTTCTCGGAGGAAGTAACATTTGAGCCGAGTCTTGAGAGGCCAGTAGAATTTGCTATGTAAAGGAACAGGAAAGCAGGGGAGACATTCCGGGCATCTAGGTCGGCTTGGGCAAAGGGTGAAAGAGTAGTTTGCTGAGAGCTAAGTGGGGAAGACAGCAGTGGAGAAAGCATTCATTGGTTTTCAAACTGCAGGCCAGGACTCAACAGGTGAGTAAGTTGCAACCAGCATTTAAAGAAAAAATAAAAAGGCCAGGCATGATGGTTCAGGCCTGTAATCCCAGCAACTATAGAGGTGGAGATCAGGAAAATAGCAGATTGAGGCTAGCCCAGGGAAAATGTTAGGAAGATCCCATCTCAACCAACAAGCTGGCATAGTGGCATGTTTCTGACATCCCAGCTACTGCTGGAGCTAACAGAAGACCCTATGCCCAAAATACCAAAAGCTAAAAGGACTGGGGATGTGGCTCAAGTGGTAGAACACCTGCCTAGCAAGTGCAAGGCCCTGAGCTCAAACCCCAATACTGCCAAAAAGCAAAACAAAAACAAGAAAACAAAAAATCTTTTGTTTCAGTGTTTTGTAAGGATGTGTATATTTATACTTGTAAAATGTATTTCTTACTATGGTTGAGTTTCTTAAAAAGTTTGAAAATCATTGTGATTGGTAGTAAGAGGAGTTGAAAAGATAAAGGTTATGTCCAGACAGTGACAGGGGATCACGGAGTTTGGCAAGCCATGGAGGTTTGAGCTAACATGCAGTCAGGTGTAATAAGATGACAGGCAGCTGTGTGGAAGGTAGGTTGGAGGGCACTCACCTGTCCAAAGGCTGCTGCAGTGGTCAACTGGAGAATGAATAAACATAACTTTCCCAGACTGGACCATGTATCCCTCCCTAGTGATCTCACAGCACACAGTACGTCTGTCATCCCTACCTTTACATGTGGGACATGGATGGAAGTCTGTCTGTATCCTTCACTAGGCAGTATGCCCCACTCTTTGATTGCCCAATTCAGACCTGGAAACAGGAACTGTAGAGTCCAGGCACCTCTCTACCTGCAATACCCTCCATGCTCCTTCTGTTTTCTTTGCTGTAGTTACAGAGACCTGAAATTCTAATTCTTCCTTCAGTTCCTTTGCCCAGGCTCTTCTGTTTGCCGAGTACCTTCTACCACAAATCTTCCTGGTTCCATTTCCTTCAGTTCTCAGCTTAAATTTCCCTTTTTTTTTTTTTCTTGGTGGTACTGGAGCCTAAACTCAGGGCCTTGTGCTTGCTAGATAAGTACTCTACCACTGAAGCCACACACTCAGATTTAGTTATTTTTACTTTAGTTATTTTCCAAATAAGGTCTCATGTTTTTGTCCAGGGCAGGCATTGGACTACGATCCTGTATCAGACACATAGCTGGAATTACAGAATGCTGAGCTAGTTTTCTGAGATGAGGTCTCACTAACTTTTTTGCCTGGGCTTTTTTCAGATAGGTCTGAACCTAGCCTAAACACCCCTCTTGAATTTTTCTCTCTAACAGGTACCATTTTTCTTAATTTTCCTCTACTTTTATATATTTTTGTGTACTTGTCCAATGTCTCTCTTTTCCTAGACCTTGTATCACCTATACCAAATGCTGAATGAATATTTGTTGAATAAATGAACTCCTGAATGGATAATAAATCTAAGTTGGAATAAGGGAGGAGGTAGAAAATGACAGATTGGGTTACAGACACAAAGTTTGACGGGCTTTTTGTGTCAGCTTGGGAGAAATAGTCAATGAATGGCTGCATATCCAGGTCTGGCACTTGGTAGAGATTCAGTACCTCTCCCTGGTGTGAGTGCCCACTTGGTCCCTACACCATCCTGCCCCCTTCATCCCTCTAGCTAGAGTCATTCCTCCTTCCTCTCAGCTCACTTCACGGTCACCCTGCATCTCGGATGATGCTTACTTCTCATTTTTATTTCAGCTGCTGGCAAGCATGTTGCAGTTTTATTGTCCTCCATTAACATAGGCTATTACTTTGCATATGTATAGAACTGTCAGATGTTTGCCATCTTTTGATGAGTGTATGCTCCTGGTCTCCAGCAGAGCTTTGAAATAGTTTGTACTAATATTTTATGAAGACATGAATAAATTTTCATTTCCTGTGCCCTTATTCCCATTTTCCCCCTTTTTTTCAGAGCTGGGAGTAGAACCCAGGGGCCTCACACATGCTAGGCAAGTGCTCTACTACTGAGTTATGTCCCCAGCCCCTTTGACTTCCTTTAATTCCCTATAAGGTCTTCTTCCCCCACCTTCTTTTCTTATGTTATTTTGTCCTGGAGTTTTCAAATTTTCTTAAAACAAAATTGAGGTAATTGTTCTATAAGTTTTGATAGTTGAATTTGTAAAGCATCTAGTAGTATGCTTGGGACCAAACTGGCAGACAATAAATACTTTTTTTATCATCCTAATTTAAGAAGCAAAAAAATGACAGTTTGAATTTTTAAAAGTTTTTTTCTGAAAGTAGTTTTTTCCTAATTATAAAACAACTCATACTCTTTGCAGAAAACTTAGAAATACAAAAAAAAAAAAGAGAATAATCCTTAATCCTACCACCTTGAGAGTAATAACCTGACATTTTGGTGAATTACCTTCTATTCTTGTTCTTCTAAATATATTTATTTCACATACTATTTGTAGTCTTATACATATTTTCCACCTTGGATTGCTAATATCTTCCCAAGGAGTAGAACTTTTGTTTTTGTGGTTCTGGGTTTGAACTCAGGGCCTTGCTTTTGCTAAGGCAAGTACTGTAGCACTTGAGCCACAACCTCAGCCCTAGAATCATTTAAATAAAAGATAATTCTATGAAAGTACACCCTAAAACATTAGTGGTAGATAAGAGGCTTCAATACTGTAAGTTAAGAAATCATAGCATATATATAACAGTAACTTTTTATCACTTTTGCTTTAATTTAACATATGGGGTACAGATTATATGTCTTTGCTGGCCAGGAGGAGAAACAGTGAGATAGTATTCAGTAACAGGAAGCAATAGGTCTGTAGCAAGCTGTAAAATGAATAATTTGCCTAACAACATTCAAAGTCAGTTTTAAAAGCATGGTAATGCCTAAACAAAACATGTCTGGCTTACAAACTGCTTAATTGTGAGCCCTGATTGAAAAGATACTTACCGACTCCTTCCTGTGTTGAGTATTGGTGGTGAGACAGCTGAATAAAGAGGATGCTCACAAATACATACACAAAGCTCACTGTACTTAGAAAGGCAAGATGTGTCAGCTGCTCTCAAAGGAACACAAGTTCAGGCAGTTAAATAAGTTAGCGTTTCCATTGCTCACCAAGTCCATACTTAATAAAAAATACCCTGTGGAACTTAGCTATTTCTAAATCCTGGCTATTAAGTGTTTTTATTGATCTGTTTGCAATAATTCTCTACCCCAGAAACTTTTAAAGTGCTTTCTGTCATTTCTGTGGTAGCAGTCACAATTTACAAAGAAAACACTTGATTGTATTTCTATTGTCCCTGGAGGAAGGAAGGAGAGAGGATGCTTGCACACAGCCATAATTTTCTGTGGCTGCTTTTGTGTTACAACAGCAGGGTTGAGTACCTGCTCAACCCTAGCACTCTCAAAGCCCAGAATACTTACTACCAGCACTTCACAGAAAAAAAATATTTTTCTTTTAGAAAACTTCCTAGGTTATTACCTGTTTCTGAAATATGTGTAATGTAGAATAGAATCAAACAGTTAACTGTCTCACATTTAAGTGAAAATGTGTAATAGGCCCTAGAAATGTGAAAACCCATGAGTATGCATCTAACAACAGAGCCTCAAAGCACATGAGGCCAAAACTGACAGAATTGAAGGGAGAAATAGACTAATAATAGTTGGAAACTTCAGTGTTCCACTTTTAGTACTGAACAGAACATTTAGACACAGATCAGCAATGAAGTGTTAGGCTTGAGCAACGTCATGACCTAACAGACATCTATAGAATACCTTCAGTGAGAGCAGGATGCACATTCTTCTCCATAGAGAACATTTTCAGGATAGACCATATGTTAGGTCATAAAACAAGGATTAAAAGCATACAAAGTATATTTTCCAACTGCAGTGGAATGAAATTAGTAATCAAGAACAGAAGGAAATTTGGCAAATTTACAAATATGTAGAAATTACTCATTAAAAAACAGGGTCAAAGAAGAAATCACAAGAGAAATTTAAAAATGTTTTGAGATGATTGAAAACAAAAACACATACTAAA